GAGATCAGGATGGACGGCAAGTATCTTGAGAAGTTGGAAGAGATTTTAGGTTTGGGAAAAGCCCTGCCGAAGAAGTTGCCGTTTCCAATGGATTACGGAAGATCGTTGAAGGACGATACGCCCTTGGATGCAGATGAACATCATCTGTATAGATCCTGTGTAGGAATCCTATTGTATATGACACCGGAGAGACCTGATTTGGGATTCGCTACGAAGTGGTTGTCTGGGAAGTTGGCAGCGCCAACGCGAGGAGACTTAGCAGTGCTTAGGCACGTGGCAAAGTATGTAAAAGCGACAGCCCACTACGTGATAGAACACAAAGAGGCATATCCTGGAAAGAGTTTTCTAGATCCAAGTGATAAGAGAACTGAGAATGCCTACAAAGATGTTTTTACGGCAAAGAGTTTGATCGAGGTAGTGACCGACGCCGACTGGGCGACCGATCGTGAGAATAGGCAGTCAACGAGCTGCGTGTTGATTTTCGTGAACAGTAACATCGTTTACTTTCACGCGAGAAAGCAAAAAGCGACGGCTTTGAGCAGCTGCGAAAGCGAACTGGTGGCAGCTGTTGGAGGTTTGAGTGAAGGAGTTTTTCTACAGAGTCTGCTGCACAGAGTTCTAGGGATTAGGCCGGAGATGGTGATTAGGATGGATTCTAGCAGTGCTAGGTCTATTCTCATGAAGAAAGGCCTAGGAAGAACAAGGCACATTGATGCAGGACTGCTTTGGGTTCAAAGGCTTACTTCGGTAGGTCTTCAAGTGAAAGCGATAGCTGGGAAGGAGAACCCTGCAGATGTAGGAACAAAGGCTTTGTCGAGGAACGCTGTTGTGAAGTGTTTGGAGAGAATCGGTGTGAAAACTGGAGAAGAAAGTGAAGAGGTCAGGATAGCAAGTGACTTCAAGATCCCTACGAAGTATCTGAGAAGACTTGTGATGATGATGATGGTTCAGCAGTGTGATGGACTAAGAGATCAAAGCAGTAGAAGCAGTGAAGGTGGAAACCTTGGTTTGGTGATGATGGTGATGATGATGACACTGGTTGTTATCATGGCTTGCAACGGTAGCTTGTGGAAGAGTCTGGTTGGAAGTGTTGAATGCATGTTTTATTCCGCCGCTGCCGTTTTTGACTCAAGGAAGGAAGTGAAAAGAGAGAAAGTGAAAAGAAAAGAAGTGAGGAGAAAAGAAATAGAAGAAAAAGAAGAAGTGAAAAAGATGGCCGACGACGCGGCCCTCAAGACAATGATCAGTGACGAATGCCGCAGCATAGAGTCCGTAACCCTATGCGAAAGAGAGCTCAAAAAGGAGCGAGAGAGGAGATTAACCCTGGATGCCCTATGGCCCGAAGTGCAACGCCTCAACCAAAAGTATGAGCCTAAAGAGGCGGCCCCGTCAGAAGCTGCAAAGACGGAGGTTAAAGTGCCTGAAGAGTTCAAGAAAACAGCCGAGGAATTGGCTGGAGAGGCACAGGGAAGCAAGGGAAGTGCCGAAGGAAGCCAGGCACAAGTTATGGAAGATAGAGTGAGCGAGCTGAGGCAGAAGGCCTTGGATGCTTCCGAGAGGCGAAAGGGCCAGAAGGAAAGGGCAAATGAAGCCGCAGAGAAGGCGAAGGAAACAAAAGAAGAAGAGGAGAAAAAGAAAGAGAAAGAAGAGGAGGAGCAAGAAGCCTCCGAAAGCGAAGAGAAAGTGAGTTCGGAGAAAGAGGAGGAAGAGCAAAGCTCCGAAAAAGAGGAAGAGAAAAAGAAAGGAGAAAAGAGAAAGAAAGAGTCTGAGTCCAGTGATGATGAATACAAGGAGATCATGGACAAAATGGCAAAGAAGTCAGTTCTGGATGAGGAGAAGAAAGTGCAGGACCTGCTTGGGCAGATGCGAGTTCTGCAGGAGAAAGTGGACGAAAAGCGAAAGAAATTCACGATTTATTCGGACTTGTATACTTACAAGCAAAAACAGAAGAAGATCAAAGAGGAAGAAAGAGATAAGTTGATCGCAAAAGAGATAGAGGTGAAGGAAGAGCTGAAGCGGGTAGCGGACGAAGCGTTCGTTGCCAAAGAGTCCATAGAAAAACAACTGGACAAGCTGAGAGCCGAAGAGGAGGAACAGGAAAATGAGGCTACATTGATAATGGACGCAGAGTCCGCCCTGCAGAAAGAGATGGACCAATTGAGGCCGAAACTTCAGACTGCACTGGAGGAGTTGAAGGCAAAAAGGAAGGAACTGCAGGTTCCAGCGGGTGGACTGCTTCAGGGCGAAGCTGAGCAAAAGCTGAAAGAGATGGAGAGCAAGAGGATCAAAGAGATTAAAGAGCTCCAAGAAACGAAAGAAAAGGAGATCAAGGAGGAGATAGACAAAAAGGATAAAGAGATCAAGGAGCTAAAAGAGTCAAAGGACAAAGAGATTGGAGAATTGAATGAAGAATTGAGAAAGCTGAAAAAGCGCAAAAGCAGTGCTGGGTCGACGCAAGGCCCATCGAATGAGGATGCAGAGAAGATGAAGGAGGAGCGCAAGAAAATGCGCGAGACTATTAAGGAGCTTGGAAAGAACAACAAGGCCCTCGAAGATGAGCTCCAGGTGTTTAAAGAGGAAAGCCGGATCAACGAAGATCCTGATGCGCAAAGCCAGCCAATGGTTTGCGCGGTATGTTCACGTTTCGGACATGGTTCCGAAACGTGTTGGGATGCCGATTACAATTATACTGCCTCAGGGCAGTATGCCCCAAAGATGCAAAGGGAAGAAATGAGTAAGGAACAGTTCCAATCCTGGTACAAGAAGAACGAATTGATAATTCGAAGAGCATACGCGAACAGGTTGGAGACAAACAAGAAAAAGTACCGCACAGACAACGCGGAGAAGGGCAAAGGAAAGAAAGCCCAGCAAAAGAGCGGCTAAAGGAGAAAAGGAAAAGAGAAGAAAGAAAGACCAAACCGGAGGTCTATAAAGAAAAAGGGAATCTGAAGGCTGAAAAGCCAGAGGGGGAACTTCGTTCCCAAATGAGGAAAGAGTTTTCTGAAAGTTGTACGACAACTGCACCACGAGAAGCCGAAGAGTTTCTTCACGAGGAGAGAGTTTAAAGAGTTTGAAGAGTTTGTGGCTTTTGGGCCACCACGAGTTCTTTTGAGGCTGAAAGGCCAAAGAAGTGAACGAGTTTGAGAGCGGCCAGTAGGAGTAGCTCTGTTTCACTCGTCTCACACCACGACAAAAAGCGAGTGCACAACGAGTGTTTCAAAAGGAGGAAAGTGCGACTGTTTTGGGTTCGTTGCACCTCTAGGAAAGAAATGGCAAAAGAGGATGCACGAAGAGGGGGTAACAAACATTTCGCTTAGGAGTGTGTTGCCCTATAATCCTGTAGTTGAGCTGTTTGCCACATGATTTTGTATAGTATGGAACAAATGTTCCACTGTGGTGTTTAGGCTCAAGGGACGCACCCAAGACAGCCGTGCGCCTGAGGAAAAGTGAAGTGCGAATATCTGTGTGAAGTGAAAGGGTCCGGAACGTACCCGTAAAGCGTTTTAAATCCCCAGACGTACATCAAGCGAGACAATGATCCAAAAGTCTTACATGTTAGCTGCTTGAACGTGCTCTGCGACATCATTCCCAAGATCACCGGAATGGGACGTTTCTCTATCATCAGGCCAACTCCGACTGGACCAGTGGACTTCCCCTACATCGATCCTGTGGATATCCTCTTGATGCAAAGCACGAGGGACAACTCCTCACAGACGATTGCGGTGCTTGTTGACCACAACATCCAGTTGCCAGCCAAGTTCATCGACAAGCTCACGGCGAGCAGGATCGAAAAGAAGAGGAACCCCAACGTGGCACGTCCTGCACTACAGCACATCTCAGCTTCAGAGTATTTGCAGCATGGGCAAACGTCCGTCATGGACACGGCAGTTACAGCTGAAGAAAGTGAACGAGTCACAGCTCCAAAGGCAACTCCCAAGGCGCCAACGCAAGATCGCGACTATCGACGGGGATGGAATACCAACTCCTACCATGATGCCAAAGCCAAGGGCAAAGGCAAGTGGAAGGGGAAGCCCAAGCACCTCGAGGAGAATGGAACGTGATGATCCTGCTCGTACTCGCGATTGGTACCGGGACAAGCTATGACTGTGACCTCGGCAATATAATCGTGATCCACAATCGCGAATGCCTTTTCTTCGGTGACGCCTGATTCTGTATGTCATTTCGGGGGATCGTCACTGACGTAGATGAGTGTCACATCAGTTCTAATTGGGATGCAAGGCTCATACTCAAACATTTCAAAGTTGCGTCGGACTAATTCCAAATCTTCCCAATCGCGCCATCTTCCGGTTGAGTAGTGCTGGAGGCACAACTAACTCATGGGGGGTGCGAACGGACCTCGATAACCAGTCCGATTCTGTGGTGTCGCTATAACAGCTATGAGATATAACTTGTATAGGTCAAGAGTGGAGGCACGCTACGCGCACTCCATCTCTAGGTGTCAGCCTGTGGGCACGCTACGCGTACCACAGAGCTACACCAGTTACCACATGCCGCCAACGCAACTTTGGATCAAGAACGAGCTGAAAAGCTCACAAACCGATTGCCACAAGCTTAACATTAGCTTGCTGTCTTTCTGACCTAGTGAGTTGAGCCATCCCGGTGCACAGACGACTCGTGCTTACCCTCGAAGGAGGAAAAGAGCTATCGAGTCTGCCTGCCTGCGTTTGAGCTTATTACGTGGAACTGGGAGTGATATATTATCGAGTCTGTTGAAGGGCAACCACACACATACTACATAGCTCGGTGGGGTGAGCGAACAAGGACAACATCAAGATCAAATCCCCACGCAAATGGCAACACATGCCCGCACATGTCGAAGCCCGAACCAGTCGGGTTACAATCCATCTACACATTTTGTAATGTACAAGTAATGGATGCTACTTTAACCCACTACCCTCCCCAACAATATGAGCCAAGCCCCAAAACCAAACCGCTGCGGCAGTGAATTCGGATCATTTTAGTGCGATGCCTGGGCACAGGCCAGCCTGGACCGTCTCTTCTGCGACATCCACTGCGTAAGGGATGCTGTTGTTCGAGGCACGGCAGGAAGGCTTCAGAGGCCCCTCTGGAAGGGTTCGTGGAAGTTCAGGCGTTCAGGGGCTTAGGTTTAGGAGGCGTGCGCGAAATCAAATTCATGACACCACGACATTCACAGAGTTTCACAGGTGCATCTTCCTCACAAAACCAAGAGGTCTGTGGCACCAAGGGACTTTAGACATGTGATTTCAGCCGGTCCCTTTTGATTCGCTTTTTGAGACAGACATGAACCCATTCTGACTTGGGCGGGGTCGGGGCAGTTTCCAATATGGCGGAAATACGCAGTATGGAGAATGCAAGATCGGATATGCCATCCCTTTCCAATCGCGGCGCTTGGCGGCCGCTGGCGCAGCTGGCGGCACGGCATTTTGTTCGATCCTGGTTGACTCCTGCGAATCCGGTTTGAACACCCGGAGCGCCTCAGCGAAGTCCTGAAACCCAAAGCCTTCAAACTCTGAAGAAAGCCCTAACACTTAACCCCCCAAGACCTAAACCCTTCACTCGTAAAGCCAAAATCCTTAAGTCCTGACCCCCGAAGCTTAACCTTTGCAGGGAAGCCCGACTTCCAGGCGATCGTGCCATCCTACGGAACCTGAAAGCCGCAACGGCAACTTGCCATGAAGCCATAGGAGCCTTCGTCTACACTCCCCTGAGTCGAGGGCCTCGTAGGGATAGGGTTGCCAGATTTTTGGTTCAGGGCTTCGGGAGAAGTATGGGATTGCACAGGCTTCCTGTCACAGGCCTTGTAATGAGGCAATGCTGGGCCGGGTTTGTATTATAGCTCATAAGAGCTTGAGTCTTGGTTGATTTTGAAGAGGGCTTGGGAACAGACCATATTAGAATTTTTGCAGAATTTGAACTGGAATGATATTGCCACTTGCCCCGGTTCGCAACGTTACTAGTAGCAGTCCCAAAACCGTGAGCCAGCTGCGTATGTCACCACCTATGGCGAATACGAGGAGCTAAGAGTATGGTTGTTTTGGGATCTACACCGACATTTGTCATTTGGGATGGCATCTTTTTGGGGGATTGCACTTGTGGACCATCGCGTGCCAAGGCCCCTGACACTGAATACCTAAACGGACCTAGACCTAAATCACAACGTATTCCCAACACCCACCCTGGACTCGCTGGTTCACATGTCCTTCGATACTTTGAACATCTGATACTTTGAACATCTGTGGTGGGGCCTTGCAAACTCAGTGTCGAAGTGCGAAGCCCGAAAGTTTAGGACAGAGAGAGCGGTCACCGAGGACGTGACGAACAGGAACCTGAGAGCGATGGCCGAGTGGAGCGTGGAGGCCAACAGAGCCGCCTTGGCTGAGTCTTCAAATGGAATCACATGGTTCCGCAAACGGGCGCTCCGCCCCCGCCTAACGGGCCTAACTTGAAGCTGGAGCCGGGACGTTTGTATTTCAGACCTAGCTTCCCCACGCTGGCCGGTGTCACTAAGAGAATTCCCGAAAAGGCGTCCTGGTCACCAGGTCGCCGACCTGTGAGGGCTCCTCTTTGGTTTCGCAGAACCTGCTCGTTTGCTCCTTGGAAGAAGCTTTTGAAGTGTGCGAGAGCCCTGCCAAAGTGAGGCTGAAACTGGCTGGCTGGCGCAGAAGATGGATCTTCGGAACGCACTCTTGATAGAAACGCTGGCTTGACCCGCTTTGGGCTTCGAGATCAGACTCGGCTCGTATCCCTTTCTCTGGAGCAGAAGGGATCGCGCATTGAAACCGATGTCTCCATCTCTGCAGAGAATCTTACCTAAAGAATGCAAACCAGAGACTTCGCACAGATTTCTGGTGCATATCCCCAGCAGAACCCTAACCCCGTCCTTCGGAATGCGGTCAACATTGCCCAATTCGGGCCGTTTCTGGTTTGTTTGATGGTTGCAATGTAAGGTATATTTGGGAGCAGCACTAGCTGTTAATCAGCCGGTGTCGGAGGCAAGCTGCACGGAAGGAGAAGATCATGCATAGTGAGTCGAGGGTTGACAGGAAAGCTGACCCTGGAACCTGAGCCCGATCCCCTGATCGACCCAGGATGTCATGGAATCCCGCCTCAATGTGCAGCTAGCGGCTTTGCAGGACAGCAGCATCCACTTATGGGGGAAACCTCATCAGCAAGCCGTGCCCCATGTCACAGAGAGATGCTTTGAAGTTCACAAGCGCGTTGTTGTATCATGGACATCCTGCTGAACATGCACATATACGAGGACTTTTTGTTCCACTGCTTGTCTTGATGGTAGCAGCATGTTCATCAAGCAGTTGAGATGGCAAGTAAAGAAAGGGACCTGCAGCAATGACTTCCACAAGCTGCAAGACCAAGCCTTGCGGGCTCTGTATGGTTCGTTTCGCAAAAGCGTTTCCCTGCGAACAACAGGGTTGAACATGAACACAGCAGTGGGCACAACTGCACGCTTGGCACCAGCTTCATAGCAAGGATCGCTGTTACTGATCCTCGCGCTCGTTTTCATCAGTCGCACAAATTGGCGAATTTCCTGCTCCACGAATCCAGAAGCATGCAGCAATGCAGCCACGTGCCCAATCAGGCCGAGAGCCAGACAGGAGCGGAATTCCTCGCCGAAGCCAAGGAGCTGCTGAGCCGTTTCAGCTTGGGTCCAGGCATTGCACATTGAACGGCAGGCCGCATCAGGAACCAGAGCCCTACCCTGGAGAGAATCATGCTGTGTCTCAGGAGGATTGCTTTATAGCAGAGCCACAAGTTGATCCAATAGCTCGCAGTGCAAATTCGCAGTTTGGAAGCTCTGCCCTACCAAACGACAACAACAGCCAACATTCAATGAGTATTTCCGCTGTCATGTCATACATAAAGACATTACTATTATATATATTTAATTATATTTATATATAGATGTGCCATTGACTGGAAGTGAGGGCTATAGGGTAGTTAGTTCCTGTACAGTTTGCATGTTACTGACGTTTTGGCTCAAGGCCAACTGCAGAAGCCTAAAAAGTGCTTTCATGGTAGCGGAGCGATCCTGGATGGGTTGCTGCTGCGCCTGTAGAAGGAGGAGAGCACAGCGCGAAAGAGCCAGGGCCAATTGGGGCCGATTGATTCGAAAGGTAGGGAAGCTGCGAAAGCTTCAGCGTCTTTTCCACAACACTGGAGTAGGGCTCCAGGATTTTCCAAGAAGGTTGCTTGATCGCCTTTCGAGGCATTTTAAGAGAGACTGATGTCTCAGCCTGGAAGTCCCACAGGAGTGGGGGCTACCCAGGGTGAAGAAATGTTGTTGAGGCTGCCTCAAGGGCAGCAAGAGCAGCTTCAGAGGCTGCAAGAGATGATGGGAGCCCAGGTTCATGGGCAACAGCAGCTTGCAGCTGCAACACAGAGCTTTGCTTCGGCTAGCTCGGCCACAAAGGGACGTGGCTTGATTGATGTGAAAGCTGTGGGGCGACCGAGCCAGTTGGGCGGTACATTGGAAGAGGCGTCGCGGAACTGGCGCCAATGGTCGTATCGTCTTGAGCTTTGGCTAGCCTCGCAATTTCCGGATGCTAGGAAGATCCTTGCTTGGGTCAAGGAGAAAGGTGATACCGAGATTTCTTTGGCAAGCCTGGAGTCGACTTCGATTACGGGCGTCGCCAAGGAAGCGGTGCTGGAATTTAATCGCCAGCTTGAGGTGGTGCTTGGGACGCTTACCAGCGATGCGCCTGGGGACATCACGATGAATAGTTCGACTGGGTCAGGCCCGCCTGGATCCATCGGACATGGTCACCAGCATGAGGTGGCTAAGGTCACTTATGAGCACTTCGGCGGTGGACTCCGTCACCGACCTGGTGCCAGCCATTGAGAAATGGGAGGATGCCCACCGGCGGTACAGCCAGCGGAAGGACTGCGCACCTTTGACGGAGCAGCAGAAGATGGTTTCTTTGATCGGCCTCGCACCGTCTGAGCTTCAGGGCCACCTGGAGCTAAACCTGGGAAGGCTCAGCAGCTATGAGTTGCTGAGGAGAGAGATGGTGTCCTTTGCGGATACCAAGCGGGCCTTTACGGCCACGGACGGTGCTGTGCCAATGGAGGTGGATGCTTTGAAGGGTGCCAAAGGACCGAAAGGAAAAGGAAAGAAAGGAGACAAAGGAAAGGACAAGGCCAAAGAAACAAGGACTTGTCACATATGCCAACGCGTAGGTCACCTAGCTAGGGACTGTTGGTATAAGGATAGTAAGGGTAAAGGTAAAGGAAACCCGAAGGACCCTAAGGCTCAAGCGGGCAAGGGTAACAAGAACCGGCCAAAGGGCCGAGCCAACGAGCTTGACGGCACGGAGGGCGGCGCCATGGATGGGGCCGGCGATGCCGAATATGAAGCCGAAGAGCCTGATGAGGAAGCCGAGTTGGGCTTCATAGGGGCTCTGGATGGCGAGGGCGAGGCTGACCCCGATGGGGACCCTGCTGACGGCAGGGAAGATGGAAGCGGAGGTGATGGAGCGCTTCGCTCCTCACCTGGTGCCGACAACTCTGGAGCCGGAAGCTCCACGGATCCCCCGGCACCCAAGGCAAAGGCCAAAGCGGGAACCACCAGTTCCACCCCAGTGGGCCTAAGGATGGCCGATATGAGTGTGCTGAACAAGCTTCAGGAGAGACGAAGGGAGCTTGAAGCTCAGATCGCCGAGGTGGAAGCCAAGGGCAGCGAAGGTGACCAAGGTGAGCTCACCATGCACCGGCTGATGCTGGACATGGTTAAGGGTCAGATAAGGAGGGCCCAGGAGCTCAAAAGGAACCGAGAAGCAAGGATCTCGGCTAGGCTTCAGGCCGACCTGAATGCGGGTCACAACCCGCAGCTGGCAAAGCGGAAAGAAAAGAGCCGCCAGAGAGCGGCCAAGCACCGACAGAGCCTCAGGCTAGGGCAAGCCAAGGCACGGGTCAGGAGAGAGGAAGCCCTGGAGAGGAGGTTCAACATACCCGAGAGGGCACGCAAGCAGGATGAATATCCGTTGCTGCCCAGTGCTGGGTCCAAGGTGGCTGCGCCACCCTCTCGCCGAGAAAAGGCTATGATGAGGGGCGAAGGCGAGGACCGCGAGCACTCTGGGGATGAGCTCGACGAGCCCAAGGAAAGGGACTGGAGTGCCAAGCCTCGACGGCTAACGCCGGAGGGCCGCGAAGGCAAGAGGCTGCGAGAGCAGAAGAGGAAGAAAAGAAGGGCTCAGGAGATGAAGGAAGAAGCGGGTGGTGGACCGCCTCGATCCCCACCGGCAGGGGTTCGAGGAACCGACCGGCCCAGTGAGCCGAAGGGGCCACCGCCTAAGCTGCGGCCGACCCCTAAGGTTCGACCGACACCCAAGGAGCCGAGTACCCCGCCACCGGGCCATGAGTCGAGAAGGAAGAAGAAAGAAGAGGAAGAAGAGGACCTGGTGGAGATGGTCTTCACCTTCATCGACGGCTCGGGGGTTGTGGTGCGAAGAAAGGGCATCTCCGAGCTCACCCTCAGCCAGAAAAGGAAGGTGGAGGAGGCGATCGCCTCTGCACCTTGAGCCCAAGACCCGAGGCAGGCCCCAGCTGAACAAGTACAGCCAGATGTTCTCGAGGTTTGTGAACTACCTCAAGGGCTACCGACCAGCCCTGCCAGAGAAGCAGATCCGCCGCAGGGGTCTTGCAAAGCAGTACCAGGCTGCAACCCGGTTCCGCGCAAGGGTTGGAATCCGGAGAAAACTCCGGGCCTTGGCCCCGAGGGGCACGGTGGGCGAAACGATCGCCAACCGGGAGCAGGCGTGTGAAGACAACCGAGCCTGCAGACCGCTTTTACAAGAAGCGGCGGGCAGCACGGGCCAAGCAAAAGGCCAAAGAGCTCCTGAGCGAAGACGAGGAAGATGCTCCAAGGGGGTACGACGACCCCGACACAGACTCAGATCCCGGCCACCGTCCGCTGGGCCGTGGGCCAAGGAGCCCACCAGGTGGTGGGGAAGGAGCAAAGGAGGCCGTGGCGTACTCCTTCGAGCCAGGGTTTGGTGGAGCCGCTTCGGCTACCACCATCCAAGTGATCCTGGATAGTGGGGCGAGCCACAATGTGATCCCACAAGAGTGGGTGAAGCACCTGGAGTGCTGAAGCTTGGGCACACGATCGTCCTGAAAGGATCGAGAGCGGTGATCCATGTGAAAGGAAGCAAGGAGAAAACTTTGGTGTTCAAGATCCTTGGGTCGCCTAAGGCGACGTTTGCTTTCAAGGGTTTCCCGCGGCACTGCCCGGAGGAGTGCAGGTAAGCCCAAAGGGAGGCCGGAAGCCAGAAAGCGTTTCCACCCACCTTGCGGTAGCTCAGGGAGTAGGTGCTGTAGATGTACAGAAGAATTCGAAAGTTTCACCTGACAGCCATTTTGGCGCGGTAGGAAAAGGTAGCGTTTTTCATCTTCCTAGGCCCCCTCCGGTAGCTAGTTCTCCCGACCACTTTTTCATAGGATCAGAAGGAGAAGAGGACAAAGCCGAGGAGAAAAGAAGCAAAGCAAAGGAGAGGCAAAGGAAGAACCAAGAAGCCCAACGCGCAAAGCAAAGGAAAAGCTAAGAAGCCCAACACACAAAGCAGAGGAAAAGCCTAGGTCTAACTCGGGCAAGAATCGATCTGGATCCCTTTATGTGGGTGAAGCCGATAGTGCTGATCCATCAAGGGAGGAAGCTGCTTCAGCGTCCTCCCAGCCACAGGTCGATGAGGGTCAGTCTGCTCAGCCGTTGGCCCGGCCAGACCGACCAACGCCCGAGATGATAGCAGCTCATGAGGTTTCCCATGTTCCATACAGGAGTTGGTGCAGAGCCTGCGTTGCAGGTCGTGGTCGAGCTTACCAGCACAAAGCTTCGGGTCAGGAGTCCACGGTGCCTGTCATCAGCATGGACTACCTCTACTTCAATGAAATGAGAGGACCGATGGTGCTGGACTGCCCACCATAGTCCTTCGCGATCGCCACTCGAAGGCTATCTTCTCGCACCTCCTCCCGTGCAAGGGAACGACTGGGTCTACGCATCCTGAGCGAGCTATCTTGAAGGACCTTGAATTCCTAGGGTACAAGAAACTGGTCCTGAAGAATGACCAAGAAGCTTCTATCAAAGCTCTATCTCTCGCTGTTCGCAATGGCTTCAGTGGGGAGATTGTTCCCGAGGAGTCACCTAAAGGGGACCACCACGGACAGAGCAACGGGGAAGCTGAGAGGTCCGTCCAGTCCAGACAGTGCAGGGTTTAGTGCGGACCCTGAAGGCCAGTTTGACCGAGAAGGGCATTACCCTTGAACCCACCTCGTCCGTGTTTGCCTGGATGATTGAATATGCTGGTGTACTGCACACCCTGTTCAGTCAAGAGCTCCATGAAGGGCTGACGCCTTTTCAGCGGATAAAGGGGCACAAGTGGCAAGTGGCTTTGCCATGCTTTGGTGAAGCTGTGGACTTCCGCCGCAATACGCGCTCAAAGCTGGATTCGCGATGGCAATCTGGAGTTTACCTGGGCCTACGTCTGCAAAGCACGGAGAAGATCGTGGGGACCAACCAAGGGATCTTTGTGGTCCAGAGCATCAAGCGGAAACCCGAGGGCCAACAATGGGATTCCGACTTGGTCAAGGCAGTTCGTGGATTGCCCTGGAAGACCTCTCCGGACGAGACTGGAGATGGTGCTCGATTACCCGAGCCACTGACCGTTCGAGATCAGGTTGAGGAGGGACTGCCTCCACCTGCTCGTGAACTGGTTAAGCCCGAGGTAGCACCCTTCAGGCGTACCTACATCCGCCAATCTGACCTAGACAAGTTTGGGTATACGGCTGGATGCGAGGCATGCTCAGCAATCCGTGAGGGTCGAAGGAGAACGGGCATCAACCACACTGAGCACTGCCGCTCAAGGATCATGGAAGCCCTAAAGGACTCAGAAAGCGGAAGAGTCCGACTGGAACGCGAAGAGCAACGGGAGAGTGAATTCTTCGACAAGGTGAATACCGCGGAAGAAAAGAAGAGGAAGGTTAGCACAGGGCAGGAGGCGTCTTCGTCCATAGAACCTCCAGCAACCCAACCTTCCAGAACTCTGACCATTGCTCGCCAACCGCCTTTGAGGCCAGAGGTTCCGAGTGAACCTAGCTCTCTGCCACCTGGTGGTGCGGCTGCTTCAGCTGCGCCCAGTGGGGGCCAGAAGAGAAAGAGTGAAGGCGGGGGGGACGAAGGTCGTGCCGAGCTGGCACCTCCTGACGAAAGGTCCGAGGGTCAGAAGCGGAAATCACCTGAGGATGCCGAGGGCATGATCGAAGAGCTCATTCTGCAAGAGCGCGAAGGTTTCATTGCCAGTGTCGAGAACGAGGAACAACCTACATGCGACCTGGAGGACGACTTGTGGGAAGAAAAGTTCTACGACGAGAATACTGGTAAAGAGCTTCCCGCCGAAGGTGTCAAGCAAGCCCGCATGGAAGAGATACAAGTTATCAAAGACATGCAGGTATAGGAGCCGATACCAAGACCCCCTGGCGAACGGGTCATCGGCACCAGATGGATTGACATCAACAAGGGGGATGACCTTCGAAAGAAACTGCGCTCAAGGCTGGTAGCACAAGAACTGAAAAGAAAGAAAGGAGTCAATGAAGATCCGAGCTGGACCGAGTTCTTTGCGGCAATGCCGCCATTGTCTTCGTTGCGGGCTCTATTCACGTTGGCTACAACTGGGCGCGTACCCGGCCCAAACAAGAAAGCCTTTCAGATGAACGAGCATGGTGAAGTTTGTGTGCTGTTCATTGACGTGAAGAAAGCTCACTTCTGGAGTCCAGTTAGGAGGCGACTCCTCGTGGAGCTACCACCAGAAGCTGGGGAAGGACCTGACAAGGTCGGCCTTCTCAAAAGAAGCCTCTACGGAACCCGTGATGCACCGAGCAACTGGGAACATGCCATCAAGAAGGTAATGACTGACTTGGGGTTCAAGCAAGGGGTGTCCAACCCATGTCTTTACTTTCACCCCGAGCATGGCCTACGTTGCAATGTGCATGGAGACGACTTCACAGTCGTCGGGGGCTACAACAAGCTTCAATGGTTGATTGAGTCACTTCAGAAAGCGTGGACAATCGAGGTGCGAGGAATCTTGGCACGGCCCGGCTCGAGCCTGCCAGGAGTTACTCACAGCATCTCTGTGCTGAACAGATTGGTTACGTGGACCAATGAGGGGATTGAGATGGAAGCTGATCCTCGCCATGTTGACCTGGTGTTGGAACATCTGGGTTTGAATAACTCCAGCCCTGTTACCACACCGCTTGTCAAGAGCACAGGGGATGAAGATGAAAGTCCACTCTCCAGGGAAGATGCTGGACTCTACCGGTCCATAGCAATGAGGGTTGGGTATCTGTCAAGCGACAGACCCGACATGCTTCGGACTGTGAGGGAACTTGCTAAAGGACTCAAGGAGCCCACTCACTATCACTGGAACCTGCTCAAGCGTGCAGGGAGATACTTAAGAGGGGCACCTCGCCTCGTGCAGCTTATCCCTCACCAAGAAGGGTTCAGTGTCATCCAAGGATGGAGTGACACAGATCATGCTGGATGCGTTCGCACAAGAAAGTCCACAACCGGGACCGTCGTGCAACTAGGGAAGTCCGTCATCAAAGCCACTGCAAAAGGGCAGGCAGTCATAGCACTCTCCAGTGGGGAAGCTGAATACTACGGCCTGATTTCTACCACCAGTGCATGCCTGGGGGAACAAGCAATGTTGGCTGACTGGGGCATCAACTGCCCTGTGATCATCAACATGGATGCCACCACTGGCATATCCATTGGAAGCCGAAGGGGTTTGGGACATGTAAAACACATCCACACCTGCTTCTTATGGGTTCAAGAGGTGATCGATACCGGCCGAGTTAAGCTGAAGAAAGTCCCTACGGGAGAAATGCTGGCTGACCTGATGACCAAACCTCTGGACGCTAAGCTGATCCAGAAGTTCCTGCAAGGAATGGGATACAACAACAGAGCGGGACGACATCCTTTGGCCCTGAAGAGGTGAAGCTAACAACCCATGCCTCACCACTCGTGAGAGCTGTGCCAGCATCTCACTCGGGAGGCGTGACTGGAAGTGAGGGCTATAGGGTAGTTAGTTCCTGTACAGTTTGCATGTTACTGACGTTTTGGCTCAAGGCCAACTGCAGAAGCCTAAAAAGTGCTTTCAGCCATACATATATATGGTAGCCCCCCCAAGAACTACCTACCCTCGTTTTGTGTCGTAAATACCGTGCCAAACCAGCTTTTCCGGAAGGTCAGGATTCTGTATCTCTCATAGACTACCGAAATCAAACTCACATTTCAAGAGAACGTGTCAGTCAACTCGCTCAGGTTTGACGGTTTGACGTGAAATCCGGATTCAGTATCTCTCAAAGACTACCGAAGTCAAACTCACATTTCAAGAGAACGTATCAGTCAGCTCGTTCAAGTTCGACGTTTCGACGTGAGCACGCGCTTAACGGCAACACTATGCTCTTCCTCCCAAAGCTAATTTTTTCCTAGGGAAAACCAAAACAAACAGAAAAACATCTTTTGGGA